GAACCATTACTCCAGTTGAATTGTTGTGTTTGCTCATAACCAAAAGGTATGGTGATTCCTCGACGACATCCTGGATTGGCAGTGGTAGGATTTGCTGTGATACCGGCGATGTCGACGGCAATGATCGATGTATTTCCTCCCCGAAAACATCGTCAACTTCATCGTCTTTTTCCTTAGCAGCATCATCATTAGGATGATATCATCATGAGGGATTATCACCTTCATCGTTGTTATCCTCATTGGAGCTGAAAAGGCCTCGACGGACTTTATTTATTAGTATTTCTAATAAGCGATAGATCAGAACTATCAATTTTTTACTGAATTTCATCAGTAGTATACCCAAGAAGAGCAAAACCATGACTACATTGGATACAATACAACATGAATTTGTACTATAATTAACAATACGAATCCAATCAATAGCGTAAAAATCACTAAAATGAGGAGAAGAAGAAGAAGGTCCATAGATGATGCTTTGAGATTTGAAAAGAGGGAAGAATGTGAAACCAAAACAATTGGAAGAAGAAAAGTTTAAAAATTTTGAAAGTGGGAAAAACTTTCTGCCGCCTAAATCAGTTAGTAAAACAGATTTTTGATCAAGAATGCTCACAGTTCGATAAGTGGAAGGGGCAACAAATTTTTGATGAAGAATGCTCACCGTTAGATAAAATTTTTGACTGCTCACCGTTAGATACGAATTTTTGAATGATCACCGATATATACGGATTTTTTATGAAGAATGCTCACCATTCGATTAGTGCAAGGGGCAACGGATTTTGGATGAAGAATGCTCACAATTAGATACGGATTTTTGAATGTTCACCAACAGATTTTTGATGAAGAAGCTTACCGTTTGATACAGATTTTTGATGTCAACGACGACGATGTATTATCTTCCCGGAAAACAGCCTCAACTTCATCGTCTTTTTCCTTAGTAGCATCATCATCAGGATGATATCATCATGAGAATCATCATCACCTCCATTGTTGTTTTCCTCATTGGAGCTGAAAAGACCTCGACGAACTTTATTCATTAGTATTTTAAATAAGCGATAAATCATAACTATCAATTTTTTACTGAATTTCATTACTAATATACCCAAGAAGAGCAATTGCATGGCTACAATTGTAAGACAACATGATTTCTTACTGCAATTAACCGTACAAATCCAGTCAATAGCGTAAAAATCACTAAAAGGAAGAGAAGAAGGTCTATAGATGATGCTTTTGTATAAGTTTAGAAAGTACTAAATTGGAAAGAGCTAAATTGAGGTTTGTTTAAGTTACTCGTAAATTGTGAGTTTTGGGTCAATTTCAAACGATCATAACTTTCAACATATAATGATCTATTTGGCCCATCAGATATCAAATCGAAGGACATTGAGTCCTCTTTCCAACGTCGCCGAGTTTACTAAATTCCGAGTTTGGATGAGGAAGATATGCCCATTTTAGCTTGTCAAGTTAAGGAAATTCATCGGCTTTCTGGACTTGGGCTGGGGCGGTGCGCCCCCATAGCGCCAGGGGGCTTGGTGCGACGCGCCAGCAGTGCGGCCAATCAGACCCCAGTAAATGGGGTCCAGTGGAAGCGCCAACAGTGTTCCCAATCAGACCACCAGTAAATGGGGGCTTGGTGGACGCGCCAACAGTTCACCCAATGTCCAATCAGACCCCCAGTAAATGAAGGTCTGGCGCGACATGTCAGTAGTGCGCCCGAAGCGTCAAGCCACTTTATTTCTCCGTTCTCGTGCCATACTTGTCCCTTTGAGTCTAGTTTTCATACATCATCATGGGATCATCAATACCACCATCGTTGTTATCCTCATTGGAGCTGGAAAGGCCTCGGCGGACTTTATTCATTAGTATTTTCAATAAGCAATAGATCAGAACTATCAATTTTTTACTAAATTTCATGAGTTGTATATCCAAGAAGAGCAATTTTTTACTAAATTTCATGAGTAGTATATCCAAGAAGAGCAATAGCATGGCTACATTGGATACAATCAGTAAGACAACATGACTTTGTACTAAAATTGAAAGTACTAAAATTGAGAGTACAAATTCAATCAATAGCGTAAAAATCACTAAAAGGAGGAGAAGAAGGTCCATAGATGAAGCTTTGAGATTTGACAAGAGGGAAGAATGTGAAACAAAAACAATTGGAAGAAGAAAAGTTCAAAATTTTTAAAAGCGGGACTACTTGTTTCTCTTTTTGAAATTAATTTTATTTAATAACAAAAAAAATAGTTTTGCAATTTTGGGAAATATGGTAAGATGTTTCTCTCATATTACATTTTTTTGGTATGTTTGTGTGAAACATAAAAAGTGATTATAATGTGCATAAATTGTTCCATAAATTATGGTAATATAGTAAAGAGTGATCATTTATTATAAAGTAAATTCCTCCTATTAAATATAATGATTTGAATGTTTTGTGTTATCCTACTATTTAATTGAACGAATTTTTAATCTTCTTATACATATAGTCTTTTTATATTCTTTATAAATTTTATCTTATTCTATTTACTTTCGGCTTATCTCCTTTTATTAATTACTTATATTATATTATATTATTATTATTATACTAAATTTTAAAAGTGAGAAGATATTAAGTTTAAACTTAAAAAACATAAACAATCATAAGAAAGTATTACATTTATTCTGAATAAAAATCAACTAAGTTTTCTCCACTTCTCTTAGTTAATTTAAATAACTTAATATAGTAGTATTTGACGTCATGAAAACGTGTACTTTTTGAAATCCAAATCAAGTTCACTTAAGTAATTAGTATGTCATGCCTCAAAAAAGTCAAAGAGTTGTATTTGAAGTATGGTTATAGTAATTTGTATATATTTTTTATTTACTATTAATAATATTTAGCACTATTCACTTAAATATTATCTGTATTAATATTTTTTATTATTTTATTTACTATTTTTCTCTTTTATTTGCTTTAAATATTCATCTTTTTAATTCATACCTAATTACCTTTTCAATTGCTACTTTTTATATTCATAACTCTTATGTTTTTCATATTCATAGCCTCTAAATAATTAATTTAAAACTTTAAGATATCTTTTGATATTTCTCTATTTTTTTCTCTATAAATTCAACTTCTGACTTTCATGAGACCCCTATCCAAACACTTATATCATCATTGTGTATTTGATTCATGTTTTTGTTTGATTCGATAAAAGAAGTCTTGAATTTTGATTAGTTATAGGAGAATGTGAAGACAAGAACTCAGAAAATTATGTTTCTAATTTTGTATTTCTTTTTCCATCTATATTATTATGATTAAAGTTTTAAGAAGGATGAATTTGTTGCATTTTATTTCTAATTTATGGGTTTGTATTTTCTCTATATTAGACTTCTTTAATTTAATTTTCTATGAATTTCTTATTATTGAAAGTTGTATTTTTATGCAAAATTTAAATTTACAGTTGGTTGTTTAAAACAAATTATTTTCAAAAACTAAAATATGTTCTTCATTTGGTGTTTCTTGTCCCACTTTTAAATATTTTTATTTGTAATTGAATTTTATTACACATTACACACATGTTTTTATATAATTATAATCTTTCTAAATAATTTTAAAAATATGTATATGGGACACACGTGCAAAGCACGTGCCCAGAGACTAGTTATACTATAAGTGGGAATAAAAAAAATAAAAATTGAATTACCAAATTATCCTTTAAAAATTTGAATGACCATTTTGCCATCCAATTAAACACTTATCCTTTAATTTTGATACTAAAGAATAATTTTACTTATCTATTAGTAATAAATAATATTCCATTGAAATGAAATAATAGAAATGAATCGTTACTTGATGGATAAACTATCACTTATTACGGTCAGTCAATATGATGGGGTGAAATTGCTTTCATATTCCATAGTTATTACTACATTTACAATGTCTATTTGATTTATTCTTATTTTTTTGAATTTTTTTCTTATATTCTAAATGAACTAGAGCCAATCTGAAATGATCTTGTAAAAGATCTGATACAAAATGATTTTTTCAAATGATTCATATTGTCATGTGCACTCATTCCAAATTTCAATTCAATCAAATGATCGGTTGCTGCTAATATATCTCGTGATAACAAAATTGTTTTTTTCTGGGATATATCAAAGTTTAGTCTTTGGTTCATATTTCATCAACCAATCCTTTCTAATTCACCACTAGCAATTTTTTTTTATTTGTCGAAAAACTCTATTTATTTTGGTGTGGATGGAAGGCAACTCATTTTAATTTGTTTATCTAATTTTAAGTTGAAATCGAATTTACCAAAGTAATGAAAACTTTTGAATGTGGTCGTCTTGAACTAAAGATGAACCAATGTAAATAATTTTTAATTTTGTGATACTTGTCATTCCAAACATGTCATATGAAAAATTAGAACTAAAAAAATTATATTAAAAAAAGACAGTTTTTAAAACAAACTAAAAGGAAACGTAAGATAAACAAATTAAAACGAAAGGAATATATCTTTAACACAAAGCAAGGGGGAGTCTATAGATTCATCCTTTTCTAACTTTCATGCTGAAGTTGGCTAAAAACTATTTATTTTTTTCAAAAACAAAAACAAAGGACATAAGTAACCTTCCACAACTCACAAATTTTGAACATAAATTTACTACTTAAGATTTTTCCATGAGGGATAAATATTAATGAACCTTTTTTTTTCTACAACTTTTAAAGCCGTCCTTGGAAGTTCTTCATGGATATATTATGTACTACATAGTAAAAAAACAAGAAGGAATCAAATAAATTTGCAAAATGTTAGCTCCATTTGCCCTCAAGTTTTATGTTTGACTTCATCTCATATTATTCGTTATCACTATTGAAGAACAAGTCTACTTACCAACTAGCTAGGGGCCAAAAAAATAACTAAACAAATTTACCAAAATTTCATGACAAAACTATAAAAAGGGACTTTCTTCATCTTTATATTCATCAATTTCATCTCATTCTCTTCATACCTCTAAGAAATATGACTTCTTTTTTGCCACATCTTGTATGGTTTGTGGCTATACTTTTGATATCCAATAGTGTAGAAGCACGTCATAAACCTTATTCATGGAGAAAATATTATAGTTACAAGCCAGCACCAACGTCTACGCCTAACCCTGACGAGTTACCAGGTCAATCACCTCCATCACCACAACCATCATCCTCTGATTATTACATTTCTAGTCCACCATCACCTTTAGGGTGGTTCTCTCCTCAACCCTCCCTAGTGCCATCACCTACACCAACCTCATCACCACTATCGCCGTCTCCAAATGATTTTAGTTCCCCTCCCTCACCTTCAAGATGGGCATGGGAACCATCTCCTAGTTATACGACATCTCCTCAATCATCGCCTGTACTTGCACCTTCTTCCCCTAACCAGTCCCCACCATCACCTATAGAATGGTTCTCTCCTCGACCTTCCCCAGTGCCTTCACCGGCTACATCGCCACTATCACCATCACCCTCACCTTCAAGATGGACTCCATCCCCACATTCCTATTCATGGAAACTATCTCCTAGTTATACGACATCTCCTCAATCATCGCCTGTTCTTGCACCGTCTAATCCCAACCAGTCCCCACCATCACCTATAGAATGGTTCTCTCCTCGACCTTCCCCAGTGCCTTCACCGGCTACATCGCCACTATCACCATCACCCTCACCTTCAAGATGGACTCCATCCCCACATTCCTATTCATGGAAACTATCTCCTAGTTATACGACATCTCCTCAATCATCGCCTGTTCTTGCACCGTCTAATCCCAACCAGTCCCCACCATCACCTATAGAATGGTTCTCTCCTCGACTGTCCCCAGTGCATTCACCAACTACATCACCACTATCACCATTATCTTATGATAACGGTTCACCACCCTCGCCTTCAGAGTGGGCACCATCTCCTGAGTCATCGGTTGTACCTGTACCTGCACCTGCACCTTCGTATTCTGATAAGCCTTCACAATCACCTTCTCCATCACCACTTCCAAATTACTATTATAATTCACCGCCTCCTCCATATGTTAACAACTCTCCTCCACCTCCATCACCATCACCGTCTCCTCCACCACCATATTACTATAAATCTCCACCTCCTCCATCACCATCACCTCCTCCTCCCTATTACTATAACTCTCCTCCCCCACCATCACCTTCTCCTCCTCCTCCATACGTTTACAAGTCACCACCACCACCACCATCTTCACCTCCACCTCCTCCATATTACTACAATTCACCACCGCCACCATCACCATCCCCTCCTCCTCCATATTACTACAATTCACCACCACCACCATCTCCTCCGCCTCCACCTGCTTACTACTACTACAACTACCCTCCGCCACCTCCATCTTACTAAAAATTCACATTATTTTTTCATATCTCTACTCCTAAACCATATCAGTACCATTGCACCTTCTTACTTGAAATTTTTATTCTATCCATCTTTTATGACTTTTATCACAAGCCATATGGAAAATATATCTATCTGCAGGGTAAGAGTAATTAGCTCGAGAAAGAGATCAACTTCAACAATTTACTTTTATTTGTCCAATAGATCATGTGTTATTTTAATATGTATCCTCTTCAGTTTGTTAGTATGAAATGGAAAGTTGTTATGAAATGGTCTTTTTGTTCTTTGGTTTGGAGTCTGTTCAATATCACTATGGTTCTTAATAACAAGAATAAGGCTGACATAAAATAATTAAATAAATTCAAGAACCCCTAACTAAATGAGCACATTTAAAATTTTAGATTTATCTTATACTAATGTATGTGCCTAACACAAGTCCAACAATGTATGTCCATCAAAGAGAGTTTTGTTATCTTTCTTTATTTTACATTAAGGGTGTGTACGGTTGGTCAAATAATTTGAAAAATATTTTCTCTAGGACAAGCTTCCTAACGGAAGTAGGAAAAACAAACTCTCTAGTAACATTCCACATTAATTGTGTCCTCCCCACCCTTCAGGCTTTAACACACCTCATCTTCACCTTCACCCCCATAACGCTCATCCCCACCATCCGACGCCCCTACCTCCCCACCCCCACCTATAGTCGTATAGTATTTGTTTAAGTTATACACAAATACTTTTAGGATAATACTTTTTGTTTACCTACGGAACACAAGAAAATAAGATAGGTCCTATAAAATATTTTCCTTCATACCAAACACACCCTAGATAGGTCAACTTTTCCCTTTTTGTGGTCCTTGAATTTCATCTTCCTCTTCTTCTTCTTTGTGAACACATAGTAATATCATTTATTAATGAAATTCTATTAGAAATTAAAGCAAGAACTATAGATCTTATTTTTTTTAGGACATGTACAAAAGGATTCTTTCTATAATATAAGGTAACATTAGTGTTGCTTTTGAAAGAAAGACCAATTTCTTCATATTTCGACAAGGAAGATGAAACGGATACACTCTTTTATTAAAGAATATATCCTTTCATTTCAACTTTTGAGTATTAATTATATTTAAACAGTTTCTAATAGTAACGTATATTTTCATGGAGAGAAGGTATAAAGCAATAAAATATTTTTATCAGATTTCAGGTAAAATTTTACCTTAGATTTGTTGAACTTATGTAAGTATTGTCTCAATTATTGGAGAATCATTATTTAATAACATAAAAGTACATTCAGTCATTTGAAAATGTGAACTAGTTAAAAGAATTATTTTGTTAAAAATTCCAGTAAAGCTCTAAAATTTTATAGATGATCTCATGTGGGTGAAAATTAACATATTAAGCATCTTTTTAGCTACCACAGATATTTCTTCTAACAAAATCATTTAAAAACAAAATAGTTTGAAACAAACAAGAGAATACTACTCATACCACAATAAGGGAAACCATTCTTGAGCAGTTAACAGGATTGTAAAAGACTTCTAGTCCTATGCTACATTTGTTACAAACTACAACATTGTTGGATAATATAATTTTCGATTTGTGGCATATCGTCAGTTTCCTATCAGCAGAAAACAAAGGGGCAATGTTTCCCAATGTTGCTCGAACTTTTCAAAAATGTTCATGGGTGTGCTGGATCCTCCAAAAGTAGTGTGCATTTTTGGAGGATCTGATACGGGTACAGCAACATATTCTGAGAGTCTGCACAACATAGGACTGCTCCATTTCCTATACTCTCATACCAGATCAATCTGCCCACTCTCCACAAGTGGCTTTATAGACTTGTAAGGTAGAGCATACAAATCATTGGCTTCAATGTTCACTGGTTCTTCCCCACTATCATCAAAGAAAATTAATGGAAGTCAAGAGTAGAAAATAATCAGGCAGGATTCCCAAGAAAAATGACAAAGTAAAGAAGATTACCTGTCATCAAGCTGAAAAGATCCTAAAAACTTCTTGCTTCTGCAGATAACATATTGATCTAGTTGCGGCTCAGGAACTAAAATGCATACAAGAAGAGAAACTGTTGTTTCAGTACAAATGTAAATCCCGAAAGTCTTTATATTTGAGATGTCTAAAATGTGAAAAAAGAAACAAACCGATACCAGGAGTGCAAGAGTTTGCCTCATGCCTTAAACCAACTCACAATCAGGTTGTAGGTTTCGCAATTGATTAGAGAATTTAAATTGCTACACCGTGTTCGAAGACGATTTAAATCACTTAGCAGCAAAACTTTATTATTATAAGATGCTTTTGATTAAGGCATAACCATTAATCTCGGATTCCAGAAACTCTTTTTAGCTCCACAATGATATAGATAAAGAGAAACACACAGAAATGGATGGATAAACAGCTTACCCATGTCATCTGCCAAACTTAGTGAAGATTGCTTCAAGTGGGACTTGAAGCCATGAGGCAACTTTGAGAGAACAGATTGATCTAGATGTTGCTCCGTATCATCAATACACCTAATCATCCCAGGTAATCATCCTAGGTAATTAGCACTATAAACTTGGTAAGCATTGAACACTTAGAATTAAGAGAAACAGCTTTACCTTTCAGCAAATTTTTGCTCTTGTTTAGACAGACGATTCCATAAGTCAGTATTTTTTTGTATGTGAAATGCATAATTTTCGATCTGCAGTCAAACATTAATATGAATGAATGAATGAATGAAGATGGGATAAGGTGCAAGGACACAGCAAGAGATGAGATCCGATGACACTCAAACAGATCATGCTTTAAAGACACTACTGGTAACTTAAAGAACTATAGCTCTTTCCAGATATGAATTTCACCTAAATCAAATACATAATAAGATACTATAATTCAATGCTACCTTTTGGAGACGGGTTCTTAAGTACGATCTTAATAGAAACAGAGTTCTATCGAGGTCCATCTGGTAAAGAGATAAAGTGAGCGGATCAACACCATTTTTTGAAAATTCCTCTACTGTTTCTTCCTGAAAAGCAAAGACTAAGTAGCATTAGCATGCAATACATTGTAAACCATGAAACTGCATAAATGAATAACGAGTAGCATAAGTCAAGGAACAAAAGCAAATATTAGATTCATATAAATGAACAATACACCACAACATAAAATGGAACTTTTGGCATCATCAAATGAAATGTAGATTTGGAGTGTCGGAGGAGTTTTACATTCCACTTCGTTAAATATGACAATTAACAGATGTTGTACACCAAAAATGAAGATATGGATTACAATCCATTACGTAGCAGTAACAACACACGTTATGATAATCTTTGTTTGGATGAGAGCACAACAGCTTTTCCATTCAGATAGCACACAGTTATAGCTTTCAACGAATAACTTCATTTGTGATTTACCAAACACAGTTGTGTCCTTTAACTTAGAATCTCATGGAAGTCATACTCCTATAAGAATATTCACAGCAAACACTTCACCTAATAGCAGACAAAGTGCACACAGATGCTAGAATTAAATTCTGTTAGGCAATAATTGAATAAATTGTTCAGTGTATTTTTTTCTGCCGGAAATAAGTTTGTCTATCTAAAAAGTTTAATCTCATCCTTTTAAACAGAACTGGAAGCTTCAGTTGCATCCTGCTAGAGTCTTGGACAACACAATTTTTTTCGTTTTTCTGTAGTATATTCCCTTTATAAATACACTTCTAAAATGATGACATCAACTAGTAATTCTCAACCTGCTGAGCCATATATCCACCACATAATGCCAAACAAAGCATAAGTCTTAACACAAAAAATATTAAAATAGAAAGGAATTCTAATAGAACACAAGGTGAAAGCCGATGTTAAAAAAATACCCAGACAAATATCCCAGGTACAAATTTAAGAGGCCTAAATATATGAAATGTGCATACCATCAATTGAATTTGTTCTCTGGATCTTTGAACCAAAGCAGTCTCATATTGAAGAATTTCAGGAGCAGCCTTTTCATTCCGCCATGCTCGTTTTAAGAGCTCCGCATCAGTCGTTGAAAGTAAAGACTCATAATCATCGTCCACCCCAGCTGAATATCCAGATGCATCACCTGAATCCATTGTCAACCCGATACTCTCTCTCTACTTTTTTTCCTCGCCAAAGATTGAAGCTTTTTCTCGAGTAGAACAAATCTTGAGAGCTCAAACTACAATCATGAAACAACAAAAATTTAGATATTAGAAATAGTAACTGGGCAATCAGTGTCTTTTTGTTCTCTCCATCACATTAAGGTTCAATACAAGAAATTCAGAAAAACATTGGCAAGAAATATCAATATAAGATGAGCATTTTCACAGTAAATATCATGATGAAACAAAGAGACGTCAAAAATAGGACTTTTATCCAGAATACACCATAACTGAAACATAGAATGTTCCCCATTTCAGAAACTTTCAGTGGAAACATGAAGCTACCTACACATCCAAACATTATTCCAGAAACCCATATCAGAAAAGAAAAACACTCATCTCAAAGGTTTCCCCCCAAAGGGGAAAACAACTAGCAATAGGCAATATCAAAAAGTTGTAAAACAAAATTATTAACTACAATATAAGATTCTAAATGAAGATGTGATACACCTAAAATATAGCGCAATATTTCGAAAAAGGTTAGAAATTTAAAACAATTTATGTTTTTAGGCTTGCCCTTCTTGTAATTCTCCACTAATGTAGGTCACTTGTCCTAGGATCAAAATACGGGTTTATTAAGGATGTAAATAATTGTACTGTAGGCTTCGGCATGGTAGGATATATATGGATAAAAGTAACTCAAAATTCCCTTAAGCACCACAAATACTTGAACTAGTAAGACCTTCTTCATTTCCTTTATTTACAAGATGTACCCAACCTTTCCATTATCTTCCAACGCTTGATAAAGCCCAATTTTCAAGCATACTTTTCTTTTTCTTCCTTTCTTCAACTCTTTCTCTTCTCTTATTTAGTAGCACAAATACCTCTTCTTGTCAAGCTTTTGATTATTTTTCTCAAGCCTCAACTCAATCACTTCACCACAACTCAAAAGACCTCCAAACTTAGAATTATGTGCATTCATCCAAGTTTTAAAGTGCTCAAGAGTCAAGGGAATAGGGTATCAATGATAAAAACAAAATAAATGCAGGATTAAGAGAGGAAAAAAAAATCCAGAAAGCCATAGAAACAAATAGCAGCCAACTAAATCCCCCATCCCACACATAAATAAATACCAGGCAAGGTGAAAAGGAAGTCCCCTTGACAGTACACGGGTCACCACCACAGAAGGTGGAGCATCAGATTGATTCCATATATTAACTCTGTCATTCCCTCTGCAACATTCTAGTCCACATTGTTGTCTTGCAAATGGAAATTAACAAACAATTGACATGTCCCACTTTGTATTTTCAAAATAACACTTGACACAATGTATTCATCCTCCATGCAGCTCTTCAGAAACACACTTAAAACACCAAAGATAGTCACTTATCCAGACCATTATCGTAATCCTACTTAATTCAGTAACGCATTTTTTTAATTCACAACCCTAGCCTAGTTATAAGTCAATGCCAAAGGATTGTTTGCCTCAGTTACCAGAAACTTTCATCTCGACTGCACAGACACAATACTCTACAAACCTGCCTAGACCACCCCACAATTGCTCATGTAACTCATTTTTCACTCAGATGATTCATCAAACAGCTTATGTGCATGACATGGCAAGTATAGCTAAAACCTAAAATGGTCATGTAACCTCCCAATTTTGTAGGGAATTATAATTATAGTTCAATAACCACAATTGCAATAACATTCTAACAATTCTCAAAGAGCAATTTGAACATTACAATCAAAAATCACAACCGAGTAAGATTTACTTTTACAAAACGAGCTAGAGAGAGAAAGTAATTCGATAAAAGAGAGAGAGAGAAGAGAGACTTACCTAAACACACAGAGCAATGGCGAGAGATGTGAGCTCCCTCGAGTGAAAATGACAAATTTTGATCTTGTACGTGTGAAAGAAGTTATTTTTTGTGTTATTTCTGATGCGTTTAAGAACATTTTTTTTATCCAATAACAAATTTGATTTATTAGATGGATAAGAATATTTTAAAAATATTTTTAATAAAATAAGGATAATTTTTATCCTTTTTCGTTAATAAATTTGAAATTGTTCGCTGATTTTGTGAAATTATCAAGCTTATAAAATAGAATCATCTTAGTAGCTCTTTAAGTTTGTGGTGCAAAATAACGGATTGCTATTTTACTTTTTTAGTGTTTAAGACTATAGACACGTTATACTTCATTTCTAGACTTCTCGATTGGCCAAATGGTTCGATTCCTATATCCTTACCATCCAACACAATGTCAAAAATTATTTAGAATGAGGTTCAATGTGTTCAACTCCAAAATTTCATCACTTCTGACCTGCTCACTTTGCCGAACACTAAAATCTTCAAAAATAGTATTATCTATATACAATTTTTGGGTTAATTGAAAAAAGCAAATAATACTTAGGACAATTATTTCATTGACTACTATACGATTAACAAAATTTTAAATCATAAAGTCTGAAAAAGTCACACAGCCGATGTATGATCAGAAGATTTGTATGACTTGAAATGGAGTTTAAGAAAAGAAATAAAACTTTTTAATATTGTGATTTTAAATCAAAGTTATGTCAAATATACCAAAATGTCATTTAATCTTGTGGTTTTAAACATGTCACGTGGAAAGTTGAAATTAAAGTGTTGTCAAAAAAGGAAATGGGTCATTCTTTTTTAAACAGACTAAAAAGGAAATTATGTCATTCTTTTTTTTAACGGAGGGAGTATTAGTTATGACTAATTGCTTACGTGGCCAAAAAAAGTCTCATTATTGCAAATTAAATAATTCTTTAAGGATGAGATTGAAGTCTATCTACCAAAAATATGGTAAAAGATCATGAGGTGAGTTTTGAGGATTTTCCTTTTATGAATTTATTTTAATTGTATTAATTGTGAGAAGACAAACTAATTTGGTAATAATATTACAACTTTTAGATAAGAATTGCTGATATCATGTATATTAGATAAGTTATACATCTTATTGTATATATATAAAGAAAGAAAATCAATATATATCTTACCTAGTTTGAGTTTGACTAATACATTGTGATTAATTGTGTATATTTGATATATTATTGCATGATTTTATGTATTAAATTCAATAAAAACAATGATTTGTCTATGTTTTGTACTTCACATTTATTCAATAAAAATAAAGATTTACTTATCATCACCAGCATTTTAAAGAACTTTACACTATTTTATGTGTGTTATATATCATTCATGTCATTATTGGGGCATAGTTATTTGTTGTTAATTTTTATTTTACTGAATAATGTAATATATACTATACAAGTGTTTTAGAAAAGATATTAATATATAAAACTTAATTTTAATTAATAAATGATAATTGATGATCAAACGAGTAATATATAACAACAATATACAGTACAAAATTGATCTTGTTGAAAGTATAAACTTGGAAAGTTAGTCAACACAATAAAAATGATAAAGAAAAATGGATAGGCCCCAAATAATTAAGTAAGTTATTTTCCTAATTACCAAAATTAGGAGGATCTTTAATCTCTATATAAAGCTAATTACTAACTCAATATATAAGATGAAAAACTTTAACAAAAATCATATAGATTTTTCTCTCATGGAAGACAAAAAACAAATTGTTTGTGGCCAATTACCCCAAACATCTCTTAGTGATTTTGATCCTCCCAAATTAAAAACTAGAAAAAGAAACAAGTATGCAATTGCTTGTTCTTTTCTTGCTTCTTTGTCATCCATCTTGCTTGGTTATGGTAAGAATTCTTTTTCCTAGAGTTTTCTTGTCTGATTCACATACTAGTTATCATGTAATTTTAGATGCGTTACGTTTTACTACATAAATTTAATTTATGAGAATATTTGATAAGACCTTTCTATATATTTGTATAACGTACAAATCTGATAAACAAACATAAGAAGAAGAAAAAATAGAATTTGCATTTCAAATTATTGCGGCTCGTTCACATAATATTGGGTTAAACTTGAAATACGAGTATCTATCAAAAGAATATTTGAATGTTAGTATTATGTTTAGACACATAATAAAAATTATTGAATTTTATGAGAAAAAATCATTATTTTATATAATAATAAGTTAATAATTTTGGGACATAAATTGCTTTGCTTTACTTTAGGCATAAACAAAGATCATCAATATAGGATGTGCTCATAGAATTTATTTTCCTTATTATTTTTTAACAAACTTGATATTTTAGAAAATCTTTTTAATTAAAATTGACAATATTAACCCCAAAATCAAGGTATTTGTGTGACTAGCCAGTCGTTGAATGAGAAATCTTAACAGCTTAATTAATTGACCGTGGATGCAGATATTGGTGTGATGAGTGGAGCCATAATCTACATAAAAAAAGACCTCAACATCAATGATGTACAAGTGGAAATTCTAGTAGGAATCCTCAATCTCTATTCTCTTTTGGGATCCGCCGCCGCTGGCCGGACTTCCGATTTGATAGGCCGCCGGAGCACTATGGTGGTAGCGGCGGTAATCTTCTTAATAGGAGCACTCTTAATGGGTTTCGCTCCTAATTATGCCTTTCTCATGTTTGGCCGTTTCATCGCCGGCATTGGCGTCGGCTACGCTCTCGTGATCGCTCCCGTTTACACTGTCGAAGTGTCGCCGGAATCTTCTCGAGGATTTCTCACTTCTTTCCCTGAAGTTTTTATTAATGGAGGTACGTGCATGAGAGCTAAGAAAATTGAATTTAGTTACGAATTTCATTGCTAAATTGATCGGCTAATCTAAACGGGTTATTGCTAACAGGTATATTGTTGGGATATGTGTCTAATGTTGCGTTTTCAAAACTCCCAATACACTTAAGCTGGCGATTCATGTTAGGAATTGGAGCAATTCCATCTGTATTCTTAGCTATAAGTATCATAACCATGCCGGAATCACCCCGTTGGCTTGTCATGAAAGGTAGACTTCACGAAGCACGAATTGTTCTTAACAAAACCTCTGAATCACCTGAAGAAGCAGAGAGTAGACTTCGTGACATCAAAGAAGCTGCTGGTATACCTGAACATTGCAATGACGATGTAGTTCAAGTGCCAAAACACCCGAAAGGTGACAATGTATGGAAAGAACTATTCATTTCTCCTACGCAATCCATCAAACACATAGTGCTCACTGGTATTGGTATACATTTTTTCCAACAAGCAAGTGGAATTGACTCTGTTGTTCTGTATAGTCCCACCATTTTCGAAAGAGCTGGGATTAAATCGGACCACGATAGATTACTAGCTACGGTAGCAATGGGATGTGTGAAGACGGTGTTTATATTAGTTGCCACATTTTTACTTGACCGAGTTGGTAGAAGGCCCTTGTTGTTAACAAGTTTTGGTGGAATGACAATTTCATTAATTTTACTCTCTATTGGTCTTGCGGTTATTGATCGTTCAAATAGTCAAGTGACATGGGCTGTGGCGCTCTGTGTCATGATGGTGTCAGTTTATGTAGCACTTTTCTCAATTGGTGCGGGTCCAATTGCTTGGGTGTATGGTTCAGAGGTTTTTCCGTTAAAACTAAGGGCAACAGGGTTTAGCGTAGGCGTGGCAGTTAATAGAGTAACGAGTGGGGTGATATCGATGACATTTTTATCGTTGGAAAAGGCGATAACAATACAAGGGGCGTTCTTTTCATACGCGGGAATTGCAGGGATGGCTTGGGTTTTCTTTTTTACATTGATGCCTGAAACACAAGGGAAGACATTGGAGGAAACTGTGGCGTTGTTCGGAACGTTTTTCGAGTGGAGATCGACAGCGAGAGAGCTCAAGGGAAAGAAGATGAATAACAATGATGAAATTCAGATGGCTACCGGAGATGTTGTTAGTAGTTGAATACCAAAGAGACAAAGGAAAGAATTTGGGATATTGTTGGCATTGTTGTTTTAACATTTGTACTTTTTTTTCTTTAATGTATAGGTCGATATAGATTATGTTATGAGATATTCAAACTCGTGATAATGCAATTTCAAATTGTTAACTCTTTTTTTTTAGTCATTTGGTTGTTTTAATAGAAACTTTATACGTTTTTAGATGTTGATTCATAATTTAAATTCACATTTCTTAAATAAGTATGGGCTAACCTAGTTGATCTTTTGTAAATTTTGAAATGTTAAATATCACTAGTTCAATCCATTTTGATCTCATCAAAGCATGCCATTAGATTTTCAAAACTATTCTTCAGACCTGACCTCTAGTAGAATAGTGATATTGATATACAATAAATTCATTCAATTGATAATCCAATAAATTTCTACATTAAATCATTACCAACTTTAACTCTTAAGAAGATATGATATACAAAATTGGAATGTGAATCGTGATTTCTATTAGAAGGACTAAAATACGTGTTGTACACTTTTTTTTTTAACTTAACTAAGATTTTTTCAAGTAAATTTTTTAACGATGCAACTAGCAATGTGTATTACTAGGTAAGTGTACTCTCTTTTCTTTCACTGTTTTTTTTCCATTGAATTTTTTCTAGTAAGATTTTAATGAAAAACAATATCTATAAATGAGCATTCAGGGATATTATAAGTACATTGTATTGTGAAAGTTCATTACGCAATTAATTTTCTGGATAAACTTGAAATCAGCAAATAACTTGTAAGTAGCTTGAGTATGCAACTTTTAGGTAGCTCAAGTAGTCCGTTTGTAAGCAAAAAAACCCGGCATTAGCTTTTTCGGGCTTGCAATCAAATATCGATCTTGCAATAGCTCAGGTAATTGCAAGTGTATCAAGTCAATTCATTTTATTTGTATATCAGTTGATTGAAGATTAAATAAAATACTATCAATCTTCCTATACTTAACACTCTACTGTTTTTAATTTATTATTTTTATTTTGTAATAAAACTAGTAAAATTATCCGCGCTTGGCGTGGAAATTTAATATCACAGAATTTATAAAATAATACTTAAAATCTACCAATCATTAAAACTAAAACACTATATTATCTTACATACAAGATTATGTAGTAACAAACATTAATAATGTAAAGGAAAATGAAATTTATTACTTCTTATCATTTATCCTTAATGATATAAGCATAAATTAATGACGGTAAAAATACATATCAAGATCTGTAACATAAGCAATGGTGTCAGTGAGCCACTCAACAAGAACAAAGTACACAAATATTTAATTGTGAAGAAGAAGAAGAAGAAGAGGTTTAGAATTTTCGTTGTTTTAAAATGAGAGGAAATTCCTCTATTTATAAACAACAAAGGGTAGCGTGAACAAATGTTTATTGTGTCTTATCGGAAATGTTACAACTATTTGGAAAAATTGCAACCCTTCGGAAAGGTCACAACCTTTCATAAAAGTCACAACTTTTCATAAAAGTTGCAACTCTTCATTAAAGTTGTAACTTTTCATAAAAGTCACAATTTTTCACAAAAGTCGCAACTTTTCATAAAAGTCGTAACTCTTCATAAAAGTCATAACTTTTCATAAAAGTCACAACTCTTCATTAAAGTCGTAACTCTTCATAAAAGTCACAACTTTTCATGAAAGGGAAAGACTAGTTTTGAAAATAAATAAATTTAAAAGGAAATTCTGGTTTGTGGTGGCACCACATAGGCGGGCCTAAGATTTTCTTTTACAAATATATATATGATTTTAGGGCATTTTTCCACTTAAATTTTCACTAACTAGTACCAAACTTTTTGTATATTTCATTTGGATTTACACATGAGATGTCCATCTTTTTTCATATTCACGCTAAAACAAACACACATGTGACTAGAACATGAGATGTAACATTCTTTTTTTTAAAATAAAAAAAACAAATTAAAGCCGTAATTAAAAGAAAAATAGTAGTATAGAGAAACATGATAGCAAAGTAGTGCAAAACATATACGCAAGGAACTATAACAACAACAACAAGGTGTAATCACCTAAACATAATAAATTCAGATAAAATCAAATAATCAAAACTCAAAGATTACATGAATATTAGATTAATACTATAACTGACACGGTGCTCTATACCACTATCAAGCCAACTACATGAATAGGCTAATGTAATCAACTTATATTTTCCTTTTTTCGTGAAGTACCTTATGTTATCAATATAAATAACCCTTTTTTAATTAAGTAAATTAAATACTTTGAGTTATTTTGATCTCATGGGGTCCTAATTTCTTGAGAGGATGACTATATAAATAGGAATAACATCTTTATTCTCACAATTACTTGTAAAACTAATCTACTTTCATTCACAAAATATGGTCACATATTGCTTCCAACTAGTATTATTTTCAATAATAGCAAATCTCATATTTGTTGTAGCAGCTCGAAATTATCCAACTAACATATCTCCATCATTTCCCCTACCACCAAATGTTTGTACATTATTACGATACCATCTTCATCTATTATTCAATACACCACCTCTGTCATCATTACCATCAGTACTACCTCGTGTTCGTAAGTTAATTCCCTTAACAACGCCACTACCTTCATACGTGCTCGAATCTTCACATTTGCAACCATTGATTCAACTACCTTCATCGCGTATCGTGCAACAAGTACCTTCTTATGATTTGGAAATTTCTTTGTTGCTATACTTGATGGTAAAGTTGTTTCTTTTGAAAATTTTGTTGCTTTTTGTAGCCATCATTGATATATGTGATTGATTTTGAGTAGGACACTGTTTTCTTTTTTTCTCTTCATCAAGTTGTAGGATTTTTTTTCTTGGTTGTTCCTAAATTCGAAAGGAGAGAAGTGCAAGTTTCAATTTACAGGACTAAACATGGTATTCGATCTTCTACGATTTCCAAGTTCCAATAGACGAAAATTGTAGAACTTTATAACTAACAATAGTATTATTCCAGCTCCAGATAAAAAAAAATTGTGTCAAATAAATGATACAATTGTGGCATGTAACATACTCCATGAAGAGCACTTGTTGCAATAATCTTAAGAAGCTGGGAGGAAGAACAACTTCTGAAAAGAGTTGCAACAATGTAACTGGAATTATTTAACAAAAAAATAAATCGAAAGATTATTTCTTATGTTTGGTTTGGTGTATTAAAAATAACATGCATTGCATAATTTCTAAAAAATATAATTTATTTTACCAATATACCCTCCATAAATATGATGGAAAAGATGTAGAAAAAGCTTTTAGGGGCAATTGTGTCTTTGACCGCTAATGCATGCTTTAAAAGTCCTTGCATTAATAATACCATGGTATCATTAATTAGTTATGCATAGGTTGAAAGTGTACCAAGCAAGGTACTGCTGATACATAAAGCTAATGCATACATTATTTATTTCATATCAACATTAACCAATTACAAGGATCCCTTACAGTAAGTACACTGGAATGGTTGTTAGTCAAGCTAATTGAATCATAACTAACTTTCCCTCCAAATGCTAACCTTACGAATTGACTATTACAACCCTATCCTCTTACTTTGAAATAAAACATAGCAACTTTTTACATACAATGGAACAAAAATAAAGAATACATTTGGATAATTTATATACTAAAGTTTACCTAAACATATTGCTGATAGTTTCATAAGAGACCAATCATGAATAACAAGCCAAAAGACAAAAAATGAGAAAGCTAGAGCCACCAAAGTATCATGAATGAATCTTGATCTTCAAACATTTCTTGTAAAAACCAGCCCTTCTTAGTCTTCTCCTCTAATTTAGATGCTCAACTTACCCCTATATAAACCATCTTAATCTGCATTATATCATCATGCAGGAAGTAGGTTTTCTTTCAATGTATTTGGAGGAGGTACTTTAGGAGCAGTAGATTTTTCTGACTTGGAAGAGACAATGAGAATCTGCATCAAGACTAGAACCAAGACCAAGAAAACTGCACAAAATACAACTCCTCCCCAAGAGAATGGACACCATTCAAAAAACTTTATAGCACTGAAGAAAAGGAAACATGACCAACAGATAACAACCTGCATATCAACAAATAATCTATTTGTTAAACAGGCGAACAAATGGAAGTGATGCAGATGTGGAACTAGCTATTTTATGAATTTGCTCCCTCCTCACCATTAAGGATTTTTTTGGTCTTCCAATATCTTGACATTCTTGGTCACCAAATGTACCCGTAGCAAGATGCCGGTCCAATAAAGCATCCTAACATCAGTGTCAGAAGGATAGAATCAAGAGATGTATAATAATTAACCAGAATAAGTCGAAGCATCTATTTACAATATTAAAAGGTGAACTTTGTTAGATGTCCCACATTGGACCAGAGTATTGACTGTTATCTCCTTATATGGTCTTGGAAAATCCTTACCTCAAGAACTAGTTTTTGAGTTTTAGTTAGGCTCAAGATTCATTTCCTTCGCATAGTATCAGGTCAAACCCATCCCTACTCTTCGTTTACTAGTGTTGGGTCCATGTTGTATTGTCCATGCACCAGATGTGTAGTCTTTGGTCGGTCAAGGTGTGTTAGATATCCCACATTAGTTAAGCATACAGGTTATTTTCTCCTTATATGGTATTGAGTAATCCTCACATCATGAGCCAACTTTAGAGATTGAGGTAGTCCCCAAATTCCTTTTCTTCCCAAACTTCACGAGTGTTCACACACTCCCTAGTTTCGTTGTTTCCACTATGGAGCACCTAGCCCCCACCACCCCCAAAATCTTCTCAGAGAGTCTTAAGAGAAATAAATGATCTAGACATGGTATTCTTGACAAAGTTTCAAATTCCACAATAAATCAACTAAGCCTTAGTGTATCGAATTCTACCTTTACAACAAAAACATCTCTGCACCATTGTGCAATACCACTCTCATCTTCTGGTAATTCCTGCATCAAACGGCGCTCAACACGCACATGGACCTACAAAGAGACAAGACAGATAAAATGTAAAATTATCATGAGCAGGAACTCAGACATATGCCCACGAACTGCAATGTATTGGAGCCATCCCTAATACTTGATGCCATGCTTACTTTGCAAA